ATATATATATATATATATCAACTGTACCAAAATGGGCCTCGTAACGAAGAGATTCCAAATCAGACTCAACTTAGCGTTTCGCTCACATATTCGTGGCAGAACTCTACTGAGTTCTCTGTAACCATAGGACTGTGCCCCAGGAGCAACGACTACTCTCTCACCAAGCCACGCCAACTGGAGCATTAGAAGCCGGTTCAGCGATGATAAACACAGATAATAATTAGTAGGAGGATTTGATAATAATATTTAATTAATTCATTGAGTCTGATAGAAACCTCAACAGGAATAGAGGAAGCACTGAATGGCCGTTTTGTCCTATAATTGGGACTCATCAGCAGTAACGCATCCACCACCAAGTATCGAAACCCTGACAGTTGGGTTGTCAAGCGAACAACATACCAACTGTACCAAATGGACTGCCGATAGCGAAGAGATTCCAAATCAGACTCAACTTAAGCGCCGCTCGCTCACATATTCCGTGGCGGAACTCTACTGAGTTCTCTGTAACCATAGGACTGTGCCCCTGGAGCCACGACTACTCTCACCAAGCCGTGTATATATATATATACACACACACACACACACACACACACACACACACACCAAATAGTGATTAACAAAATGTATATTTATTAGCTCTGTTATAGATCAAGCACTGCTTGGTTACCACGAGCACTCGCAGTGCGCTACTTATATATATATATATATACACGCACACACACACATAGTAAGGGGAAATAAATATTCGTACACCATGAAATTTTTTAATTAACACAGTTATATGAAAAAACTTAAAATCCATACAATATTTCTACACCATTGTATAATGCGGCAATATGCAAAAAAACAATTAGAAAACTTTATTATAAAAGAAATTGTGTTATTTATAAATTTTGAGACAAAAAAGTTTTTGTACAAAATATGTCTTTAACATCAAAAGGCTTTGAATTATCTTTATTTACATAATTTTTTATAAGATTTTGCTACAGTCTTTCAATTTTCTTATTACCAGGACAATCCAGAACATTCCTCAATTCATTTCTTATATAACGTTATCTCCACACACAAATCATACACAATAATTATTACCATGTTTAAAGGCAGAGAACTATCAAATTCACAAAAAGAATTGATCATCAAACATTGGAATGAAGGCAAAAGCTTTAGGAAAATAGCAGATATCCCGAATATACCATTTACTACTATTAATTTCATTACTGCTAATTATGAAAAGGTGAAAACTGTGGAGAACAAATTGAGATCAGGTGCATCACATAAGATTTTTCCCAGATAAATGAGAAGAATTCAGTGCAAAATTTAAGTAAATCCAATGACTGCTCACAGAAATACAGCAATAATTAAAAGCTTCAGGTATTGTTACGAAGTAAACAATAAACAATGAACTTCATAGAAGTCAACTAAGAAAAACTCCACTACTATTGATGTAACATAGGGATGCCCGGTTAAAATTATTTAGTGAGCGTAAGAATAAACCTGGATCAGTTTGTGAAAGTGTTTCATGAACAGATTTAGCAAAAATTGAACTATTGAGGAATAATTCAAAGACTCGTTTTTGGAGAAAAGACTGCACAGCCTTTGGTGGTAGCATTATTATGGTTTGGGATGTTTTTCTGCTAATGGTATGAGTAATTTAGAGATAATAGATGGTAGAATGAATTCAAAAATATACCAAGATGTTTTGGACTCTAATTTGTTTGGGTCAGTAGTAAAGCCCAAACTTCCAAATAAATGGGTTTTGCAACAAGACCCTAAACTTACAGCTAAGTCTGCAAAAAAAAAAAAATGGCTTATTGAAAACAATATCAGTGCACTCGAATGACCATCACAGTCTCCAGTATTGAATCCAATAGAGAATTTGTAGTGTTTATTAAAAATTCAAGATAATAAAAGAGCCCCGAAAAACATCCTGGACCTAAAGAGAATATGCAAAGAAGAATGGAGTAAAATATCAATGGAAACTTGCAAATCATTAATTAAAAGCTACAGAGAAATAGACTGATTGCCGATGAATTCAGTAAGGAATATGCTAAAAGTATTAAATAAGTATTATAATTTTGTACAAATACTTTTTTGCCTCCAATTTTTTTAATTTCATATAATTTCATTAATATAACAAATTTTTCTGAATTTCTTTTGTATATTGCAGCATTATGCGATGGTTTTCTAATATTGCTGAATTATAAAATTATTTTATAAAATCTGTGTTAAATAAAAAAAAAACATTCATGGTGTACAAATTTTCTTTACCTCCCATTTTTACATATATATATATATATATATATATATATATATATATATATATATATATGTCTGGCTACATTCATTTTCTGAGCATGCCTATCTGTTTGAGTAGCTAGCCAATTACCCTCACAGATTCCTGCTCATACACATTTGTGTTTGTTCAACATCTACAGAATTTATACTGCAACTATGCTGAGCAGACCTTAGTTACAGTTTATGGGAGAGGGTACATAATCTA